TAGCCTTTACCAGGCCTCACGTGAGGGGAACGGGTCCAGGAGGACCATCCATCGCTCTCAGTTCGCCCCTCCAGTAATTATGGCTGCCTGGTTCCGGTGGTTAAACGCCGTCGAGTGGCGAAAGTGAAACCGTTTCGTTGATGAGACGCTTCGTTATTTACGGCAGATGAAAATGTCAATTTGTGGAAAACATTTAAAGCATTCTAAAAATAAATTTAAAAAATTTTTAAAGTAAGCCTTGGAGAAAATTTGAAGAATTGTAGAAATTAGCTTTGGAGAAAATTTAAAGAATTTTAAAAATAAGTTTTGGAAGAAATGTAAAAAAATTTTGAAAAATAAGCTTTGGAAAAACTTGAAAGAATTTGAAAAATAAGTTTTGGAAAGCATTACAAAATTAGGAGAATCCTTAACTTCGGTAACATTTCACAAAATCTCCTATTCGAGGAGAAACGATCTTCCAGCAAACCTTGATACGCAAGAATGTTCCAACGTGTAATAAAATGTAACAATCTCAGATAGATCTCAATTATCCGAGGATCAGATACTCGAGAACCGGAGATGCAAACAAAATTAGCCGACAGAGTGATCGTAACATTGAAAAATCCGAGAGAAACACCGAACAAAAAGTTCATCGATCTCAGGAAGGGGGAGAAGAAAGAGTTAGTCTGTAAATCGTTACTCGAGATATCTTTATCTGCGCATTATCTTAATTGGTCTGGTCTGTTACCGATCACCGGTAATAGCGTTTACGTCATGCGACAACCATCGCGGGGTTTTACTTGTGAAACGCGCGTACAAGTGGTGAGATGAAACTGCTTTACAAGACCTTTACTGCACCGTACACTGGATGGGTAACAGGGGTGACAACCGATACCCTGTAATGCTCACGCGTTGCATACCATCAAAACTATACGTGACAAGGTTGCAACGTTTTTCCCCCCTACAATGTCCTCCGGAGTTGCCTGACAGGCTTATGTCCGAACACACCTTCCCGCGGACGTGTACGTGGCTTTCGTGCGGTCGTTATCCAGGAATCGTGGTGAATTGATACGCGTAACATCGATGCCACGCCACGGGAGATTGCGAGCTTCCGCGCGAAATTGCTCGGGAAGTTGCATGACGAGGTTAGGAACACCGCTGTCGTTCGTTGCACGCGTAAACGAGGCTTTACACGGGAATGCTTTTATACGCGGTAAATCGAGAGGCGATTTTGCCTCGTAACGAATGAATATCGTGTTATAGAGGCTAAAATTCCCCTCCCTCCGTGCAAACAGATACGTCGTAATTGTGCTTTCCAGGTTATATCGTGGAAAATTTATTGCCGGCGTAAAAGTGGCTTTAGGCTTGATGATGCCCAGCCGAGCGTAGACACGAACGGGTATATATACATATGTGTGTGTATGTTTTTCTTGATACTTCGATTGCAAAATTGCGGATTTGCGTGGAAACGGGTTTATATACGCTGGTAGCTCCGATGAGAACGTGTCATAAAGTTTTTGTACAGGTGTGCACGTGGCTTTAAGCGATGACAGTATCGTCAGTTATTGCGTCAATGTTGCTCTCCGCAAGATGTTGCAGGGCGAGCTAACAAGAAAGTGGACGGACGCGCAACCGTTGGTAGTCGTTCAACTCGTTTTGAAGTATGTATAGAACTTAATACGATAACAATCATATCTAAATTGCCGGGGAACTAAGACATACATTGTCGACGTGATTAAATCGGCTATGCAAATTTTTCTATTGAACTATTGAATCGTGGGACTTTTCCCCAGTTAGCATTTACATAGAAGGCTAAATGGACGGCGAAGATAGCCTGTATCGTATCGAACATTATCGTAAGATTTCATAATGTCGAGATTTTTACACTTTCGAAATACTTAACTCAAGTTCATGTACCATTAGTTTCTATTTCAAGCGTGAACGAGGCTGTATAAGCAGCGTTTAAATTCCGATCAACATCGAATGTAAGGCTACTATTGTCACAAAACTCTGTAATGTTGAAACACTTCGCCTCTCAACGACGTCGATCTCCATATAAATGCCCCATTACGCCTGGTACATTGTCGTTCTTCTTCTAAAGCGTAAACAGGCCTTTACATCAGAGAGAACAGATGCCCGCGGGTCTGTATCGTTAGAAAATTCACGCCTACGAGATTGCAATTTCCATAAAAATATCGAATTAACATTTTCCACACCGTTGCTTTTTTTTCAAACGTGAAAAAGGCTTTATCGTCGCACGTTTTATCATCGACGATCTCTACGTCCGTGAAAATCATTCTCCTCCGCGTTTCAAACTTCCACGATCCGTCAACTATTTTTTCCTTATTTTTTCCCAAGTGTGAATCAGGCTTAAGCCTCCGCTATCCCGTTCGACCGCGTTCAATTGTCAGTGCACGGCGCGCGGTGAAGTTCGTCGCCACGGTGAAAAGATGGATTCACTCGGGCCGTCGTCGCGGTAGGCACGAATCGAGATACCGATCCGGGAGTATCAGCCAACAGCAAGCAGCAAACGAATCTTGAAACCCGATGCAACGCAGTAGAAAATAACGCAGCGGGGCTACTCGCGATCGCGACAGACAACCCAAGCAGCGAAAAAAATTCACGGCTCTGTACGGCCTGCTGCCACGATGACGCCGCCGCCTTTTTGATGTCAAACGATCAGCCCGATGACGATCTCGCGAACGATACAGGTTAGCCAAGCGATCCGATCGCCGACGCCGATTTCACGGACGGTCGTCTCAATGAAACGCCGCTTCGGGGCCCCTCTCTCTCTCTCTCTTCTCGGTTTCAGATCCGCCCGCGGATAAGCACAGCCCGCTGGAAAATCTTACCGATAAACGACCGTGCGTCCACGCTGTGACGTCCGAACAGAAAGCTGCGGCGATCGGGAGGAGCACGAGGGACGAGGGGGGCAGAAGGAGGAGCTTGGTCGATTCGAAGGGCAACGATGACGGTAGGCTGATATAGTCGATGCTTTTTCTCTAGTGTTTCGCTGGAATGAGAGAAAAAAAAAAGAAGCGAAAAGAGATGATATCTGACGAAGAAAAGTAGATACAGAAAATTTCATTTTAATTTCAATGCTTCGTTTTTCATATTTTGCCGGATGAAAGTTAGGTTGGAAAATTTCTTCAGTACCAACAATGAGATTATTATTTACCGAAGAACGGTAAATTTTAAAAATTTCGTTTTAACTTGAAATTTGTATTTTTCACATTTTGCTTAGAGAAAGTTAGGTTAGAAAATTTCTCGAGCATCGAGAGTGAGATGATACCTACCGAAGAGCAGTGAATTCAAAATATTTCATTTTAATTTGAAAATTTTGTTTTTAATATTTTATTTAATAAGAGTTAGGTTATAAAATTTCAATAAAAAAAATAGTCTATTGAATGCTATTTTTGTTTGTCGTAAAGATAATTAAATGTATAAAAGGGTTTTGAGGTTATCTAAGATCTTCACTGCCCCTTTTAGTCCTATTTTACGACAAACAGAATACTTCAAGCATATTCTGCTCTTAACCCACAGAGAAAAATCTAGCTATTATTGTCCATCCAACCTAACCTAACCTCAAAATTACAGAACTTCTAATAATTCACACAAATAATATATTACGTATACAATTTATTATACAAAGATTTTATATTACTTCGAAATCGAGTTCACGTACGTTTAAACAATTTCTTTTACAGAGTCTCGTTTGTCAGGGGACATCTGTCGAATATGTCACATGGGCAGTTTTTCAACGATTGACGAGAATCGAGTCAGTTGTGGACGGCAGCAGCAGTCCATTCGAGGAGTCGACAGTCGGACGTCGACTATATCGTCGTCCTACGCATATCTCGGCCCTTTGATCTCGGCTTGCAAGTGAGCTTATCTATATCTATCGGGATTTATCCGTTTTGCTGATCAGATTGGCACATGCTGTCCAGCGGTAACCAGAATAATTCGAATCTGGGTTACATCTAGGTTAGGTTACTTGTCAGATTCAACTTGGAGAGGGCTTGACTCCTTTCCAACGATCGACACTCGTACTCCATCGTGGCTATTTAGTTAAATGTATTTTTGAATTGAAGGGGAGATATAAATTATAGATAATAGGTGGAAAATTGTTCTTGGAAATATTCGAATAAATTCTGTTCTATTTCTTTCCTTATATTTGTTTATATTTCCTTGTGTATTTTTCCAAAATCCATCACTTTTCTTATTTTAATATTTAATCGTGATTCAGTAATTTCTATCATTTTTAATTTGCCAAATTTTTCATAATTCCAAATTTCATTTCTAAAGAAATCGAAGTGAAGATATTTACTACTCAAAATTTATTAAGTAATTTTCACGATTTTTAATTTGTGAAATTTTTCATAATTCCAAATTTCATTTTTTCAAAAGATGGAAGTAAAAACATTTACAATTCAAAAATTACTAATTATAGTAGTGCACACATAAGCGTCCGCGGTCGGGACCGAATGCGGACGCTTAAGTGCGGAGGTGACTTCTGCGAATTTAACTGAAGAAAAGAGAGGAGATGTGTGGGATATCGATATATCAAGTGTCAGTTGTTGACATTCAGGAGTCGAACTCCACTTCGAAGTCCCATTTCCAAGAATTGGTGGGGATAGCGACAGACGCTTAAGTGTGCAATGTGGACGCGTAACTGCGAAAATGCGGACGCTTAAGTGTGCAATGTGGACGCTTAAGTGTGCAATGCGGACGCTTAAGTATATAAATGTGGACGCATATGTGTGCAATGCGGACGCTTAACCGTGCAAATGTGGACGCTTAAGTGTGCAATACGGACGCTTAAGTGTGCAAAAATGCGGACGCTCGGGTGTGCAAAAATGTGGACGCTTAAGTGTGCAAAAATGTGGACGCTTAAGTGTGCAAAAATGTGGACGCTTAAGTGTGCAAAAATGTGGACGCTTAAGTGTGCAGTACGGACGCTTAAGTGTGCAATGTGGACGCTTAAGCGTGCAAATGCGGACGCTTAAGTGTGCAAAAATGCGAACGCTTATGTGTGCACTACTGTAATTTTCAACAACTCCAAAGTACATTTATCAAAATATCGAAGTAAAAATATCACAGTTATCGATCTTAGAATGGATCACGTCTCACGTCAAACGTAAAACGTATAACAGTATACTCGCTAAGTGCAACAACATTAATAATCCGATTAGCCAATTCCCCTTTTTCCTTCTAAGCAATATTGACACATAGACGTTTTAATGTACGTGAATTATTCAAATCGAGAAACGTCATTCTTGATCCTTCATCTTAATCCATCTACTATTCTGAATAAATGTGACAGGTGTCGCGGGACAGTAGCGCTAGTGCACGCTGAGTGTCTCGAAAGATGGCTGACAGAATCGGGTCACTCGAGGTGCGAGCTTTGCGGCTACAAATACGCCACTAAAAGAGTACCGCGTCACAGCATCTTGCGTAGCATCGCAATATGGTTCAATACCGTGATAGTGACCCGTCAAGTAAGACCACGATCGTTTACTGTCAGTTTAAATGAAATATACACATACACATTTCATCCTTCCATTTAAACTTTAACAACATGCTTTTCCATCGTGCAATGTTTAGAGATGCTAAAATCTTATGCAAGAAAAAGTAACACTTCTGACAGTTTTATCGACGAGTTGTTTATTCTTCATTGGCATTGGATATCGATGGTATTTATTCCTTTTTTTTTTGTTCAAAAAATAAGGAGGTAAATTGTTCATTATCCATTAACATTAGATATCAATAGAATTTATTTTCTTTTTTTTTTAATTAAGGTTTAAATTTTATATTTTAATTTCTCAAGATTATGATGAATTTCTATTAAAAAATTGGGTACTTTTCACATGCATTAGTTATCAATAGAATTTATTTTTTTATTTAAAAAAAATAAAAATCCAATTTTTATATTACAATTTCTCAAGATAATGAACTTTCATTAAAGAATTGTGTATTTTTCATTAGCATCAGATATCGAAGGAATTTATTTTTTTATTTAAAAAAAAAACAAAATAAAGATTCAAATTTGACATTATAATTTCCCAAGATGGTGAAGAATACGTACTACAATTACAGATGCTTCTAGACATACTGTATCTGGTAGTAACCACACCTTTAGCGTTATTCTCCTGCTACATTTGCATTTTGGCGCTGAGAATGTTACTGAAAAACGGTCTGCAAGAGATGCCCTGGATGATCGTCGCGATGCTACCCACCTGTTCCCTAACTCTGGTAGCCTATTGGGGCTGGATGATAACTTTAGTCAGGTATGTACCAATTACTACTTGTCCATTTTCTCCGTTCACGTTCGTGTATAGAGCGGTGTTACTCTAGCAGAAAGATCAAAAGTCACAAAAGCAAGAGAGGTTTGCACACATAATTTAACGTAATTAATTTCACCGCGATACAGAGAACTCTATCGGACAATTTACAACTACACGGTGAAATTCTACTCTATTTTCACCTAACCACTTATTACCACCAATTAGTTTATTACCACTCATTCATTACTGAACACTACTATCACTTAATACACGGCCATTTGCTACTCTCCAATAACCACCGACCGATTAAAAAATATCCACCGCCAATTCAACGATAATTTATCGCGTCGAGAGTTTCACCTCTTCAACTATGTAATACCGTACGTTAAAATATCTGGTTCTCTTATCTCCCTCTCTGTGCTCACCCGGTCTCGTTCTACAAATCTATTCCCGGTTAATAATTTGTCCATACAACTTAATAACCTCGTTAAGCGATCGTGTAAATTACCCAGACTCCACGGACGTAGATGGCGCCGCTACTGGCGGAGCAATTTCGTCATACGCCTGATCCCGGATCGTTCGATCGTTGCTGAAACAAATTTCAGACAAGAGGCACGCTTCGACGATCAACGAAACGACACAGACGGATGAAACGAGGGAAAAATTTTTCAAAGTAAATAACGATTCGAATCGATTCTCTCCGCGAAGAAGCAAGATTTAATTGTTGCTAATTTCATTCGATTAAAAAGCGCCCTCTAATCGAAGCTGATTGCTGGTCATCGAGGACAATTAATCGCGTTACAGAGCACCGAGTTTTCGAGACGCTTCCGGTTGTCTGTTTACACGATAAAATTGATAAGTTGAAAGATATATTTAATCTGCGATATTTTTTCCATCGGCGTCCGCCATGATTGCTGTGCTGGTATTGCTCGCATTGCTGATTTATCTGGTGCTAACGATTAACGGTAATATTATTAGGATTTTTGCGAAATTTCAAATTGTTGCATTTCTGTTAATAAATAATTGAATTCGACGATACTAGAGTTGGTGGTTTTAATTGTATTGTAGTTGAAATAATTTTCAGCGAAATGTAATAATCTGTATGAATGATTAAAAAGGATGAAAAATGATGAGATATATATTTGAATACTTGTTCGAATGAGATAAAAAAGAAATGCAGAACGGAAGAGAGTAATAAGGACAAAAGAAATACGAGACAACCGGGTAAACCAGCTCTCAGAAGTTGTACGCGGTAAAAGATCCCGTTGCTTTTCACTTTCGATAGATCGAAAGTTATTGCGAGAATAACGCCACGCAGTTTATCGGTCAAGTTTGCGTCAGAAAAATGTCAAATCACCGAATGTAAAAAATGGTAAACTTTTGAATTTTCAAATTTTTTAAAATAAATGCCGTTTAAATTTGTCAAATTTCACAGTTAAAAATTTTCCAATGTATCTTCGAAATATTAAAAATTTTTTTTTTTTAACTACTTCACTATAACAAAATTTAAGGTTTCAACAAAGTTCTTGAAACACACTCAGTTTCTTCTCACAAAACTGAACGAGGCCTTTTCAATCTCCATTCGGCAGAATGAACTAATAGCAACCATTTTGGTAACGTAGACACGTGTAGGGTAAATTATCTACAGTAAAGAGAGGATTGTAGAGGTTATTAAACCGCAACCAGCTCCGAGTTCCTCTCGTTGCTCCATTTGCACCACCTACTGCCGCATCTTCTACGTCTTGAACTTCGTTTATTTTTCGGAACCGACATTCTCCGCTGCTCTTTTCCCACCACACTCCACCTCTTCTCATCACCGCCAGAGGAAGAAACTCAATTTTCTGCCTGTTTCACGTGAAATTAGCAGCGATAGCGGCGGCAGCGTTTTAATAAGGATTCACATAATTGCACGCTTCTCCCTCGCAGGATAGCCAACCCGACTCCTCTTTCTATTTACCCGGCGGCCGTTTATCTCGCGAGATAACGTCGATCAACCGTGAAGTCATTCCCACCGGGTGGAAGAATTTTTCGAAGGATTACATGCTTCAAGATGGAAATATTATCGCGAATTAAGCAAATCGTAAGATTCTGTGAAATCGTTGGCTATTATGAGAAAACGGTGCTCGATATGAACCGTGCAATGTTGAAGAAGGTAAAGTTCGTGGTTACGTGGCGTTGTGAAAGATAAAATTCGAGGTTATGTACCGTGTTGAAAAAGGTAAAGTGTGAGGTTATGTATTGCGTTGAAAAATATAAAATTTGAGGTTATGTAGCAAGTTGAAAAAGATAGAATTTGAGGTTATGTGGTGTATTGAAAAAAGATAAAGTATGAGGTTATGTACCGTGTTGAAAAAACTAAAGTTTGAGGTTACATAACATGTTGAAAAAGGTAAAGTTTGAGGTTATGTATAGTGCTTCATAGAACAGTTACGAATACACTGAATGAAATCGTGCGGCTCTTAATATGCGCATCGTGAACTGTGCAATATAATTTACGAGACGGTATAAACGTCAAATTTTATGATTACAAAGTGCTAAACTTCGTTAAACTTTTAGGATGTTAATAGGCAATCACTGTATCGCTAATAAATTATTTTGCAACCGTATATTAAAGTTCTTTCAAAACGGACGTCCAACTTTCTCACGGGTACCGCGTAAGAAGGCAGAAACTAATTACTGTGGATCGCACGAAAGAGATAGTACAGTGTTATATTTCACGGAAGCAGAAATTAGAGTCTCCCTGAACGACTAAAGTATCCTTATCGAGACAAACATTCGCCGCGTGTAAGTTTCTTCGCAAAAGCTCTACTATTGAGAATAAAAAATTCATCCACCCTCTTTTCAACCAAGTCGCATTTAATTCAACGCACACCAGATATATATCTATAATTGCCGCCATTTGAAACCTTTAACGAAGATCAGATACAACCATCGAGGATACACGCGATTCACAATTTCATGCTCCACTTGCACTTAACGTTTACACAAATATACACATGCAAACCAAGTTCGCGAAACATTCGTAATTTCACCCGAACAGGCAAGCACACTTGCACAGAACGCACGGCGTCTCTCCACAACGCATAACCTGAGTTCGGATGTTTCCGCGAGGTTCGAGGACTGTTTGCATAATGCGGTGATTTGCATCCAGGAAACGTAGTTGCACCAGATAACCTTATCGTTATCGTTACTACCAACCATTTCCAGTTGCTTTCCACCGTTTTTTCCGATGACACTTAGATAGATACACGTAATCCAACGATTAGTTCGAGCGAACGACACATCGGCGCTTCCTGCTTCGATTTGGCGCCCCCTAGAATCCACGCGGCAGGCAGCCATGATTCCGTCTGGTGGAAAAAAATGGAACTAACGTGATTGGTGGACTTCTATTCATATGGTAATTAGCGAAATGGCAATTTATGGATCGTTTCTGGAACGTTCTGTGTGCTCTGGTTTCGAGCTCGATTTATCATTTTTTTTTTTTTTTCTCTTTTTTCGTTTAATTCCCATTGGTTTGCTTGTTACGTTTTCTGGGACGAGATACGAAGGTACGATAAGACAGTTTGTAGGAAGTAAGTACATGGTTGGCGGAATGTGTGCAAATGTGGGAGTAGGACAGGAAACTGTACAGACATGTCGACGGTGTTTCTACCTGAGAAAGATTTTCGCAACGTTCGAATTCTAATAGCTCAGTTGCAGTACTGAGTTACAATGTTGACAGTACTCGATTGATACGTGTGCTTCATTTTTTAATGTGTCTACATGTAAATCGTGTCGATATCGCGGTATCATTTACTTGTACAAGTTTCAATTATGTTGTCGCGTCGATGATTCATTTTATCGTAATTATTTTCTGATTCGTACTCGTTCATTTTCCTACTTAGGAGTAATCGTTACCTTTCGATTTCACTACACGGCACGCACGCGTATCTTGAAAATTCTATGCTCTATTAGAATTATCTCGTCTAACATAACCTAGAAAATAAACGAACATAACCTGCAAATTATCTCTGCAAGCTAATTCGACGTTCATTTCTTTCCTTGCTATAATTTTTTAAATCACGTTGAATGAAATAAATCAAAGGAACTACCAACAGTTTGCTCGAAGCGTACAATTTGCCAACCTTTGAAGCGTAAAAATCGAAAAATGGCATTCATCATGGGGGGAATACCTGAACAAGCATCTCGTGAAGAAAAGAAAACAGAGGCAGCCAGAGGAATAACAGGAAAAAAGGAAGAGGAGAGAAGTTAAATGAACGATCAACGCCAGTACAAATTGATATTGCTCGAGGGCCCGTCAAAAAAGCGGTCATAAAGTGCTGGCAACATGGCGGAATGAAGAAGCAACATGGTGGAGAAGAAGATGAGGAGGGAAAAAAAAGTAAGGTAGAGGAAACGTAACAACGCGATGGCAGCTTGACAATCGAGGGTACAGATGAAAATAGAAGGTCTCTCCTCTGACTGAGAGACCGCACTTCTCTCGATCCTTTCCACGTGGATTCGACGCGAGGAAGAAATGAATCTTTTACGCGCCATCACCGCGGATGCATCCGGTTCTTCCAGATTCTCCAGCGGCACGTGACGGTTTCTAGCCTCCTAGACGACGGAGAAAAAACGTCGGGAAAAACGACACAGACCGACTAAGCGAACCCTCCATCAGGGTAAATTCGAAAGGGTAAAAAGAGGACGACACTCGAAGGGGAGACGAATTATTGGCTCGTGACGCATCGAACGTCTGTTCTCTTCTGCCTTTTCGAAGGGGCAGAGGAAAGGCTTGTGCACGAAATCGGTGGCGCTTTTTGTGGTTAATTTGATTGAAAGGCGTTTTCGAATTTTCGAATTTTCGAAATATTGAATTTTCAATTTTCTAAATTGGCAAATTTTCGAACCTTTTGAATTTCTAAGTTTACGATCTTCAATATTCCCAATGTTTCAAATTCATTAAAATCCCAATTTTCAAAATTTTTAATTTCCAATTTGCAAATTTTTAAATTTCACAAATTTCGAAATTTTTAAGTTTACAATTTGCAATATCTTCCAAGCTTCACACTTTCAAATTTTCCAGTTCCCAAATTTCCAAAATGTCAGATTTCAAAATCCCCGGCCTTCAAACTCCTAATTTAAAAAATTATCAAATCCCAAAATTTCCGAATTCTCAAAATTCTCGCCTAATTCGCAATGCACTGTGGCCAACGCTGTATCTACATACTATTTAAATATTTCACAATTTCCAAATGAGCAAAATTGCCCAATGGAAGACCACAAAATGTAGACGAACAGAAGTTGTAAGTAAAGGATGAGATCTCTGAGATTTCGATCTAACATTACGACGCATCTCTTTCGCGGATTAGCCACGAATCGGGGGCAGGAACGCGTGAAATTTCTGCATAAATAATCTGGCTTTCTAATCCCGCGGCTTTCGCCCCGTCGGACTCGTATTTTTTAACCCTCGTTAGGAGTCTTGTCGAATGAGATAAGGTGGCTGGTGGTCGATGATAATCGATCTATTCAGGCAACTTTTATTCGGGCAAGCGGAACGATATAGCTCGAATGATATATGGAAATCGCTGGAAGTCACTAATTCACGTTATTATATCAGTGGACACGAACCACGTTTAGTATTTAAACAAGATACAATTCCGAGGGAAAAAATGCATTAATAACATTCATTCCTGATAATAAATAATAACTCGTTACTGAACTTTTTCCTCGAGTAGAACAGCTTATCCTGCCAACGTTTGATAAATCTGTATCCCAGAGCCAGACTAACCCAACTCCATCTTTTTTTAATTCAGTTATATACATCATTATACTTCTTTTTCTTTGCTCACTATTATTTTTTAGCAAATGAATATTTCGAATATTAATATTCCAACTCTGAATCTGAATGCCTTCATAAACGTTAAGATAAAAAGTATAAAAAAGGGACAACTGAAAAATATTGAATTTATACAGACGCATAAAGAAGTACGTTAAAACACAGTACAAGTGAATAACATACAATAAAAAAAAAAAAATACCGTCCAATAAAATACCTGGGCCCATACTTTCTTCGGTGCTGCATCTGTAATTCATATTCTGATTCATGCTTACATTC